ACAGCAGCGCTCAGCACCCCTCTGCAGGAGGAGCGGCCAGGCCAGAGCACGTGAGTCTTCTGAGCCTCAGTTTCCACTTCCGTAAAATCAAGATCATAGTTCCTCCTTCCACAGGATGGTGGCGAGGAGCCAAACAAAGAATGTTGACAGAGCTTTGGGGAAAATGCTCTTCAAATATAAAAGCCTGAAAGAGCTAGAACTTAGAGGGTGGGTGAGACTCAGAAGGGGGGAGAGGCACTGTGCCACCGGACATTTCATACGTCCTCACCCACCATTTCCTCAGAGGAAGGGTTATGACCCCAAAGAGGAAACTGGAGCTCGGAGAGGCGAAACCACCTGCCTGAGGTATCGCCATGCATCTGAGGCAGGGCCGGGATTTGAACCCCTCTATGGAGGCAACACCCCTAGCGAGCATTCTTGACATTCATGGGTTGGGTTGATGAAGAGAGGCCAAGCAGAGCCTCGGTCAGGTGCCCCGGGGCCTCAGTGTCCCCATCGGCCACATGGGATAGTGGTCACACCACCACGTGGGGGCAGGGGTTCAGCAAGACTGCACAGGTCAGTGTCCAGCAAACAGGAAGCAGCTCACAAGCTGCTCTCAGTGGTCACCCTTCTGTGCCAGGGAACATGACGGGCAGGGACTTGGGGCAGGTTTGGGGGATGATGAGAGGGGAGAGGGTCAGCCAGAGAGGACTTCTCAGAGGAGGGGCCTCTGGAGCCAAATGGGAAGCAACTCTCCACCCATGCCTGGTCAGAAGTGAGCAAGGTGAGGAGTGGGAGCCAGTGAGGGGGGCCAGGTCCCAGCCCCCCTTTCTCTGCTGTCCGTCGTGAGACCTCTGGTCTCCTTCCAGATCGCTGGGCCTCAGCCCGCCAGTCACCTCCACTGCCCGCCAGTTGCCATCCCAGGGCCCGCCAGGCAGCCCTCTCGCTCAGGCCCCGGGCCCCTAAATGGCCCGCTGTAATCTCTCTTCTGGCAGAAAGGCTTTTCACTAATCGGAAAACTAGTATCGGGGGAGGTACCCAAAAAACCTTCCCAGGGAAAAGCAGCAACTGTTTCAGCCATGTGACACACAGGCAGGTGTGTGCATGTGCACCTTCTTTTTAACACAGAGCGCCTCACCCCCTTTCCAAACTCGGTGGCTGTGAGGACTGAGGGGAGAAAATGTGGGTGCTGCCCAAGTAGGGATTTATTGATCGGGCTGGGCACTGAATCTTCAATAAGGATGAGAGGTTTGGAAAGGAAACCTGGGGTGAGCTAAGAGTCCTCCCCCAAAGGCCCCCATCTGTCAGCTTCCAGTCCATTCTGGCCAGAAATCTGAACCCCCCAGTCCAGCTCAGCCTCAGACCACCACCCTCTCTCTCCTCCAGCAGTCTCCTAGAAAAGGTCCTTGACCCTCAAGTCCCAAATGTCTCTTGAACCCCATCCACAAGGCAGCCACTGAATTCGACACAAATGATGTGGCCTTCCAGACTGACTGTGGACGCGGGACCTGGGGTGCGGGTTCTGCACGATGCCCCTCAAGCCTGCCCCTGGTTGGGCCACTCCCTGGCCCAGATGGAGAGCAAGCTTCTCCTCCCGTCTTTCCACAGGCACCTGAGGGATGGGCCTGCGGCCCTGAGGTGCCGTCACAGTAGGTCAAAAGGTGACCATGCCCCCTGCAAGAGGACTTGCCCCTCCACGCCCTCCCTGGAGAACTCATACCTTCGAGGCACAGTTATCCACAGGAGGAGCCAGGAATGGGCAGGGAAAACTGAGGCTCAGGGCAGGCCGGTGACTTAAGCAAAACCCCACAGCACATCTGGGCAGAGACGACCCCCACCCCCGGCTCTCCCCTGGATTTCAGAGGTACAGATGCATCCTAGCTCCTCTGGAAGCCCCCGAGAGGAGAGAGGTTGAGACCTTTCTTGCTTTCTGCTGACATTCCAAGGCTCTGGGCCAAACCAAGAGAGTGGGGACAAACCAAGAGAAAAGTGGAATGTGGGGACAGACAGGGAAGGAAAGGCGGGAGGAAAAACACGAAGAGGGGCAGAGAAAAGAGGGGTGTAAGGAGAGGTTGGCTGGGGGATATATGCAGGTAGAATGAGGAGAGGGGAAAGGTTCTGATATCCCAGGAGGAAGAAGCAGCAAGAAAAGGGAGTCAGGCCATGCAAGAGAAAGGCAGAAAGATGTAAGAGCGACAGAGACAGGAAAGGGGGGAAGAGACAAAGAAAAAGGGGGGGGGGGCCGAGAGCAAGCCAGTGGGGCAACCAAGCCTTCTGTCAATTGCTTCCGACACCCTCGCCCCAGCCCCTCACACCAGCGGTCCTGAGGGGCCTGTGGTGCTGTCCCCAGTCCTGAAGGGGCCTCCAGGCCGGGCTGAGGGGACGCAGCAGGGCTGCACAACCCAGCCCTATCTCTCCTCCCTGCCCGCAGCTGCTTCCCAGAGATAGAGGCCCAAGACGGGTGTGGGAAGGTGGGCAGGCCCTGAGGTGACACGCTCACTCACGGAGGAGCCCAGCCTGCATGGAGCAGGGCCCGGGCCAGCCTGCCTCCCGCCACCTGTTCTTGTCCGCTGTGGGCTGCGGGCGGGTGCTTCTGCTCGCCTGACTTGTGCCTACGCCGCCCTCAACCTGTGGCCTTCGGTTCCCTGCCTGCCTACCCGCCACCATCCTGTCCATCCCCGTGTCCCCCCAAGACCACTCAACCAGAGCCCACCTTTCTCTTTCCTACAGGTTTGAGGTTACGGAGGGGAGCCCAG